TACTTTTCAGAGGTCCGATATTGTTCTATGTACAATCCTTGTTTTATTGATTGCATGGAATATTCTCATTTTCTGAGATTGTGGATTTGGGGTTTTCATGAGCTGTAAGCCATAATCATCACAATGATGACAAATCACGGCTTGAACTGATCTTGCTTTGCATGGAATGAGTCTCATATATTAGTTTCACCTTTTAAGTTGCTGCACTGAAATAAATAAACTTTTGCACCATATTCTCATTTTTCGAGTTCCACCTGTATATATAAAAAAAAACTGATAGTCTAGTATTTTTATATACTTCAAAAATGTATTAGCAATCCTTGCTACAGGTATTGATATAAAATCCTCTATTCCATGGTAAAATCTTACAAAAATCACATAAATGCAGAGCTGAAATAAATGGCTGTATCAGCCACTAGCCAAAATGGCCGCCGGACCTCACGTGCGGGTTCCGGCGGTGACTATTGCATGTCAAGCTTTCACGTTTTTGCACCTATAGACTGTTCCTTCACATTGGGTGCAATTTGGCACCATATGTTTTACGTTTTGTGATTTTAGTAATACCTGTAGCGCTGTACCTATTGTATTTTATTTATTGAAACAAAAAACACTATTTTTTACTTTCTGCTATAAAACATACCCAATAAAAAAATAGAAAAAAGATTTCAGATTTCAGGTGCGATTTGCAAGACATCTGATACAAATATCTACGCAAATCGCACCAAAAGTAGCGCATGCACTACTTTTGAAATCGGTGCGGCTCCGACCAAGTCGGAACCGCACCGATAGGACCGCTCCAATTTGCGGACAATAGGGTGCGACTTGGCATGCGATTTGCAAGTCGCAGTGCGTGGAAATCAAATAAGTGCAGCGCTAAATGAATAAATGATTAAAAATGATAAAGTCCACATAAAGTAACATATGTTGAATTCCAACTAAAACTGTAACAATCCACAAGTGACAATCTGTGCAGATATCGGTGCAATAGCAGCAATAATACTTCAGTCCAGATCAGTGAGGTAAGAATACGCACTCACCAGATGCGTAATGTATGTGCATATTAAATCAATCAATGGAGGTCCCCTTTAGGAATCGGATAAAGCCAGGTCAAGGATAATCCTCCCTCTGGATAATGGTGGTGCCTCAGGAGCTCCCGGGTAGTAAAGGATACAGTCAGCCAGAGGTCCCCTTTAAGGGATGGGTGGGTGTAGAAGCCTGTCAGACAGGGACTCCCTCCTCTGGATCCTGCGGTGGATCAGGTCGGCTCTATAAATGAATTGCTCCGCGTGGGGAAACATAAGAAGTGCCCATAATGTAGTAGGTAATAAAACCAAATTTTATTAAATAGTAGACTTTGCAAATTCATAAAATGACATAAAAATAAATGACAGGTAAAATGGACTAACCGTCCATAAGCAAGATGTCCGTCGGGCCTTTACGTGACTCCGGCGGCATGACTCATGGCCTATTGGCTCCCTCTTACGCGTTTCGTGCGCACGCACGTCTTCAGAGGGGGTTTTATTACCTACTACACTATGGGCACTTCTTATGTCTCCCCATGCGGAGCAATTAATTTATAGAGCCGACCTGATCCACCGGCTTTCTTTCATCTACATATGTGTTCGGGTGTTAGGAGGACACTGCAAGCCAGCGCACCGATCGCTCTGCACCTCGGGGAGCTACAACGGGGGTTTTCTACTACATTGAGGCTGTAGTATGTATGCAGTGGGCAAGCGTCTGGAAGATTCATATTTGCCTTCTAATATAACTGTCCTTGCTTCTAGAACAGCTCGGGAGCTGAGAATGAGAGGCGGGAGATCCCCCGAGGTCTGAGACTGAGAACAAGTGCTGTCATCCGGCCACTGAGTGTGCATTACAGTATCTAATGGCTGAGCCTATCATTAGAAGGAATGATGGGGCCCCGCTATGTGATGCTGCATGCAAACATCAGATCTGTGGGGGGCCCTCGGCTGTCACTTTCAGCAGATTTCCGTATGACGTTATCCAATCTAATTGCACTTCTTTCCTTCTCGCTCAGCCTGCCTCCCTGGCTCCTACGGCGATCAATGCTTGCAACTCTGCCACTGCGCTCTGGGAACAGCGTGCAATCACATGACTGGCCAGTGTGGATGTCCTCCGGGATTCACCGGCAACGGCTGTGATCAAAGTAAGGATTTTGTTCTGACCGTTCTGCCCGTGTCGGTGCGCGCCAGTGTGCACCCTGCTCCAGTGTGTATCCCACACCATTGTGTACCTCACTCCAGTGTGCACCCTGCTCCAGTGTGTATCCCACACCATTGTGTACCTCACTCCAGTATGCACCGTGCTCCAGTGTGTATCCCACACCATTGTGTACCTCACTCCAGTGTGCACCCTGCTCCAGTGTGTATCCCACACCATTGTGTACCTCACTCCAGTATGCACCGTGCTCCAGTGTGCACCCCGCTCCAGTATGTTTCCTGCTCCATTGTGTACCTCACTCCAGTGTGCACCCCTCTCCAGTGCGCACCCCGCTCCATTATGTTTCCTGCTCCATTATGTACCTCACTCCAGTACGCACCGTGCTCCAGTGTGCACCCCGCTCCAGTATGTTTCCTGCTCCATTGTGTACCTCACTCCAGTGTGCACCCCGCTCCAGTGCGCACCCCGCTCCAGTATGTTTCCTGCTCCATTATGTACCTCACTCCAGTACGCACCGTGCTCCAGTGTGCACCCCGCTCCATTGTGCACTGGGCTCCACGGTGCACCCCGCTCCATTGTGCACCTTACTCCAGTGTGTACCCAGCACCACTGTGTACCTCACTCCAGTATGCACTATGCTCCAGTGTGTACACCCCTCCATTATGTACCTGGCTCCAGTGTGCACCTCACTCCAGTATGTACCCCGCTCCATTGTGCACCATGCTCCAGTGTGCATCTCACTCCAGCGTGTACCCCACTTTATTGTGCACCTCACTCCAGCCTACATCTTGCTCCAGTGTAAACCTCACTCCAGTATACACCATGCTCCAGTGTGTACCCTGCACCATTGTGCACTGTGCTCCATGCTGCACCGTGCTCCAGTGTGTACCCCCCTCCATTGTGCACCTCACTCCAGTGTGTACCCCGCTCCATTGTGCACCATGCTCCAGTGTGCATCTCACTCCAGCATGTACCCCACTTTATTGTGCACTGCTCTCCAGCGTGTACCTCACTCCAGCCTACATCTCTCTCCGATGTGCACTGCGCTCCACGATGCACTGTGCACCAGTGTGTACCCCCCTCCCATTCTGCACCGTTCTCCAGTGTGTACCCCACTCCAGTGTGCACCTCACTAAAGCATGTACCCCGCTGTATTGTGCACCACACTCCAATGTGCACCCTACTCCGGCGTGTACCCTGCTCTATTGTGCACCACGCTCCAATGTGCACCACGCTTCAGCGTGCACCTCACTCCAGCCTACATCTCGCTCCAGTGTGTACCCCGCTCCAGTGTGTACCCCGCTCCAACGTGTACCCCGCTCCAACGCGTACCCTGCTCCATTGTGCACCGCGCTCCAACATGTACCCAGCTCCATTGTGCACCCCGCTTTGTGTACCCCGCTCCATTGTGCATCACGCTCCAACGTGTACCCAGCACCATTGTGCACCACGCTCCAACGTGTACCCCGCTCCATTGTGCACCCCGCTCTGTGTACCCCGCTCCATTGTGCATCACGCTCCAACGTGTACCCCGCTCCATTGTGCATCACGCTCCAACGTGTACCCCGCTCCATTGTGCACCCCGCTCTGTGTACCCCGCTCCATTGTGCATCACGTTCCAATGTGTACCCCGCTCCATTGTGCACCACGCTCCAACGTGTACCCCGCTCCATTGTGCATCACGCTCCAATGTGTACCCCGCTCCATTGTGCACCACGCTCTGTGTACCCCACTCTATTGTGCACCCCGCTCTGTATACCCCCGCTCCATTGTGCACCCCGCTCTGTGTACCGCGCTCCATTGTGCATCACGCTCCAACGTGTACCCCGCTCCATTGTGCATCACGCTCCAACGTGTACCCCGCTCCATTGTGCATCACGCTCCAACGTGTACCCCGCTCCAGCTTGCACCCCACTCCACCGTGCACTATGTTCTAGTGTGCACCCAACCCAAAGACAGCACCACAATCTGCAGGATCGATCATGCCTTCCATAAGCCTCTCTACATTTTTCCCAAATAATTGTATTATTTTTTCCACCTTTTCCTATAACAGATATCACAGTATATGCTCCTATATCTCCTTTCTTTAAAATCTTCATCTGTTGCAGTAACAGACAAGCATGTATTACTCCGGGGGGATCATGACGGGTTACGCCAGAAAAGGAAGTGTGATAACATGATTTGAACCCCACTGAAGGTCCCCCCACCCCCGCCCCTTCACTTCTCTGGTATAGCACAGCTTATCTCTAACTGCCACTCAGCAGGTGCACACTTGACAGTTGCTGAAACATTGTTGTCAGTTCAGGAAGCGAAACATCCTGGAATGTCAGGTTTAGTGACAACACGGCTTGCGATGCACATCATGCCATATGTGATACACATTAGACCAATCTGAGAATAAACAATATAGAAAGTGTTTAGCCACAACTTTTTTTTGGTTTTGAATAGAGTGGGGGAAGGGCTGGGGCCGCTTTCATTTTTTTTTTTTTTGCTCTGCGGGGCTTCAGTAGAGAGATTTATTTACCTAAAAGCTGACATTTAATCTGCCTGATTTCTCTCTCCCTTCATCAGTGTTGCTCTTGAACTTTTAAATAAGATCTTTATTACATGCCATACTTTAGATCCAATGATGTCATCACTGGGTCACTGTGCTTCTCTCCGCAATTGCAGGCAGATCGTGGTTGGTGGGAGGGATCCACAGGGGACTGTACATGACTTCCTGAAAACATTCCAGCACCCTGCCTCAGTATGGCTCTCAAGGGCCCTCAGCCATGATGGAAGCGGTGGGCAGGCTCTTGGGAGGAATTATGCAAATATCAAAATGGGTGGATGTCAGTCTGGAGGAGTGGGCCAGGCTGTATTTGCATGTTGATTGCTGTAGGTAACGCCCACATGTGATGCTGAGCCTCCGTGATTGAAAGAACTGAAATCCAATGAATGGAAGGGGCGGGGCCAGGGACAGTAAGATTGCGTAGGAAAGTGCTAGATGATGCTGGACGTCCTCCAGCCAAGAAATGAGCGGAGATCTATCTGACTTGCTGCAGCTTCTAATGCACTTTGTGAGAAGCTCACAGTGTGCAGTGAAATCAGAGGAAACCATTTCAGTCCAGGAGAGGAGCCGATACACCTATGTAAGACTGAAGGGGAGGAGCCGCTACACCTGTGCAAGACTGAAGGGGAGGAGCCGGTACGCCTGTGCAAGACTGAAGGGGAGGAGCCGGTACGCCTGTGCAAGACTGAAGGGGAGGAGCCGGTACACCTGTGCAAGACTGAAGGGGAGGAGCCGCTACACCTGTGCAAGACTGGAGGGGAGGAGCCGCTACACCTGTGCAAGACTGAAGGGGAGGAGCCGGTACACCTGCGTAAGACTGAAGGGGAGGAGCCGCTACACCTGTGCAAGACTGGAGGGGAGGAGCCGCTACACCTGTGCAAGACTGAAGGGGAGGAGCCGGTACACCTGTGCAAGACTGGAGGGGAGGAGCCGGTACACCTGTGCAAGGCTGGAGGGGAGGAGCCGGTACACCTGTGCAAGACTGAAGGGGAGGAGCCGCTACACCTGTGCAAGACTGGAGGGGAGGAGCCGCTACATCTGTGCAAGACTGGAGGGGAGGAGCCGGTACACCTGTGCAAGACTGGAGGGGAGGAGCCGGTACACCTGTGCAAGGCTGGAGGGCAGGAGCCAGTACATCTGTGCAAGACTGAAGGGGAGGAGACGCTACACCTGTGCAAGACTGGAGGGGAGGCTGGAGGTCACATTTAAAGCGAAGTTGTACTTTGTCCATTCTGGCACCCCTAGCATGGAAATTCCTTACACTGGCTGCCTCACTGCCCTGATCACCTGCTGGTGTCACAGGAAACTGGCAGTACTTCTGGGTACAGGGGGAACATGTGACTCTTTTTTCCCTTTCTCTGTTCTGACCAATCACCAGGCCAGAATGCTGCTGGGAGGCGGTCCTTAGTGCTTTGCAAACTGTGACCAAATAAGGAAGCAAATTTGGGGGGTTCTGGAGGTTAACCAAACAGCAGAAGAGTGAATGGAAGGTAAGTACCAACAGTCAAGGGGGTAGACTATCCATCAAACCCGTTACTTTGTCCTCCATGAGAAGAGAAGAGGTGCCCTTTAACCTCAGATACGATTAGCAAATTTAAAAATAAAATCTGAATAATCGTTTTCTCTTCAGTTTGTATTCCAGGTACCTACGGCTTGAACTGTGCTAAAATCTGCCAGTGTCCTGGCCAACATCAAGACTGCCACCCGGTGACTGGGGAGTGTATCTGCGCCCCGGGCTACTATGGGCATACCTGTCAGTTGAGTAAGTGGAGCATCCATAACGTTTCATGTTGATGGGGTTAAGATGAAGCTACACGGAGATATTATCTTTATATCGTGAGATGGTACTTCATGCTGGCAGTCACCTCAATAGGTTAAAGCAACTGTTCTCAACCAGGGTTCTGTGGGATACCAGGGTTCCTCCTAAGGGAGCTAGAGGTTCCTTGAACAGTAAGCAGTGAAATTACATTCCATCTACACTGACCACCAACGAGTGACTTCTACATTGACCACCAATGGGCTACTTCTACATTGACCGCCAATGGGTCACTTCTACATTGACCGCCAATGGGTCACTTCTGTACTGACCACCAATAAGTCACTTCGACATTGACCGCCAATGGGTCACTTTGACATTGACCGCCAATGGGTCACTTTTACACTGCCCACCAATGGATCACTTTTACATTGACCACCAAAGGGTCACTTCTACATTGACTACCAATTAGTCACTTCTACGCCAACCACCAATGGGTCACTTCTATACTGACCACCAATGGGTCACTGCCCGCCAATTAGTCTATTTTACACTTCTACATTGAGCGCCAATGGGTCACTTCTTCACCAACCACCAATGAGTCACTTCTACATTTACCACCAATGAGTTACTTCTACACCGACCACCAATAGGTCACTTCTACGCCGACTGCCAATGAGTCACTTCTACGCTGACCGCCATTGAGTCACTTCTACACCGACCGCCAATGTGTCACTTCTACACAGACCTCCAGTGGGTCACTTCTACGCCGACCGCCAATAGGTCACTCCTACACCAACCCCCAATGGGTCACTTCTACATTGACCGCCAATGGGTCACTTCTACATTGACCGCCAAGGAATCACTTCTACATTGACCGCCAATCAATCACTTCTACATTGACCGCCAATCAATCACTTCTACATTGACCGCCAATCAACCACTTCTACAATGACAATCAGTAGTTCAATACGTCTATGTATATTGGGGGGGTCAGTGACTCAAAGCATTGAAGGCAAAGGATCAGTAGGACAGCCAGGCAGTTAGCATTTTCAGGAGAGGTCAGCATTGGAAGGATCCATATTCCTATCATGGCAGGTTTCCTGTAGGTTACATTAGTATACTTGATTCATTTGTCACCATCTTCCCTTCTCTAGAATGCGCCGGTGGATTTTATGGACGAAAACTGTGAGCACCACTGCAAATGCAAGAATGGCGGTCACTGCGATGCCACCACCGGAGCGTGCCATTGCCCATCGGGCTACCTGGGGGCAGATTGTGGAACAGGTCAGTAGGAAGATATGTCTGGATCATTTCCATGGCTGGGGTTATGCACTGCAAGTAGAAGGCAGGAAAATATCAAAGCCCAGCACCAGCAGAGACAGTCTTTGTATGCTTTGGAGTGGACTAGAAAGAATTCGAACCCCAGCCAGATCTGTATAGCTATGTGTGACTCTATTAGAACAATATCACCTTATTTCCTGACCATGGTGACAACACGGTAAGAATCAAGGGGGTGTCACTGGGTTAGGAAGACACGGACAGCAAAAAAACTGACCTTCCTCGCAAACCAGAAAAAGCCTTTTTGGCTGGAGCTGGGCTTTAGTTACCTCTTTTTATGCATTCAGTATGAAGTCTTTTCATAGGGAATACCCAGGACTGAACCTTGAGGGTCCATGCAGATTATGGGGTCTTTTTTTTTAAAAATGTGCTGTCCAAATCTCTTTCACACAGCCATCACATACAACCCCTGTAATGTGTCTATCATTTATTTCCTATGATTTGTCAGCTCCATCTATTGGCCATAATGTGGTATTTTTCCCATTGAGGTATTTAGGGAAAATACTGCATTATGGCCATTGGATGGAGCTGATGATCATAGATAAACATAGACACATTACGGGGCTTATTCTCAACAGTTGAGCAAAATCTGAGACATTCACAGCAACTTTTTATACAGTGAAGGAAATAAGTATTTGCTCCCCTGCTGATGTTGAATGTTTGCCCCTCACAAAGAAATGATCGGTCTAAAAATCGAATGTTCGGTGTAACAATGAGAGACAGAATACAACAACAAATTCAGCAGAAATGCGTCTAACAAATGATGAACTGATTTACATGTTCATGAGGGAAATAAGTATTTGATCCCCTTCACGAAACATGACTTAGTATTTGGTGGCAAATCCCTTGTTGACAATCACAGAGGTCAGACGTTTCCTGGAGTTGGCCCCCAGGTTCGCACACATCTCAGGAGGGATTTTGGCCCACTCCTCTTGGCAGATCCTCTCAAAGTCATTAAGGTTTGGTGGCTGACGTTTGGCAACTCGAACTTTCAGCTCCTCCACAGATTTTCAATCGGATTAAGGTCTGGAGACTGGCTAAGCCACTCCAGGACCTTAATGTGCTTCTTCTTGAGCCGCTCCTTTGTTGCCTTGGCCGTGTTTTGGGTCATTGTCATGCTGGAACACCCATCCACGACCCATTTTCAATGCCCTGGCTGAGGGAAGAAGGTTCTCACCCAAATATGGCAATAAATTGCCCCGTCCATCGTCCCTTTGATGCGGTGCAGTTGTCCTGTCCCCTTAGCAGAAAAAAACCCCCAAACCAGAATGTTTCCACCACCATGTTTTCACAGTTGGGATGGTGTTCTTGGGGTCATAGGCAGCATTCCTTCTCCTCCAAACACGGCGAGTTGAGTTGATGCCAAAGAGCTGGATTTTGGTCTCATCTGACCACAACACTTCCCACCAGTCCTCCTCTGCATCATTCAGATGTTCAGTGGCAGACTTCAGACGGGCCTGGACATGTGCCTTCTTGAGCAGAGGGACCTTGCGGGCACTGCAGGATTTCAGTCCTTGTCGGCGTCGTGTGTTACCAATTGTTTTCTTGGTGACTGTGGTCCCAGCTGCCTGGAGATCATTGACAAGATCCTCACGTGTAGTTCTGGGATGATTCCTCACTGTTCTCATGATCATTGACACTCCACGAGGTGAGATCTTGCATGGTGCACCAGACCTAGGGAGACTGACACTTGTTTTGTGTTTCTTCCATTTGTGAATGATTGCACCAACTGTTGTCACCTTCTCACCAAGCTGCTTGGCCATAGTTTGGTAGCCCAGTCCAGCCTTGTGTAGGTCTACAATCTTGTCCCTGACATCCTTGGACAGCTCTTTGGTCTTTGCCATGGTGGAGAGTTTGGAATCTGATTGCTCCTGAGGACAGGTGTCTTTTATACAGGGAACACAATGAGATTAGCAGCACTCCCTTTAAGAGACTGCTTCTAATCTCAGCTTGTTACCTGTATGAAAGACACCTGGTAGCCAGAAATCCTGCTGAATGATAGGGGATCAAATCCTTACTTCCCTCATGAACATGCAGATCAGTCATCATTTGTTAGACGCATTTCTGCTGAATTTGTTGTTGCTATTCTGTCTCTCAGTGTTACAATACACCGAACATTCGATTTTTAGACTGATCATTTATTTGTGAGGGGCGAACATTCAACATCAGCCGGGGATCAAATACGCATTTCCTGCACTGTAAATAGACCCCCAAGCGCTGTGTTAATGCAGTGCGTCACGGTGCTTTAAGGCAGACCATAACATTTGGAACGACCTAGCAATGCACTTGAAAATGCAACTTATGAAAAAACGGATACAACCCCGTAAGATAATTGTTACCACAATGTAATTTGTGTAATGCAGCAATGTGCGGTAAAACGCGCGTTATAACTCGTTTTGATGTGTCCCATAAGTATAAATGGACTCTTTTGCAGGCAGAATCCTAGGATCAGGCAAGAGATTCCTCGGCTACTCTGCTTTAAGTGATATCATTTTTTGTTCCTCTTCAGCCTGTCCCGTTGGGCGTTATGGAAAAGGCTGCTCTCACGCGTGTCGCTGCGGTCCCAATGGCTCCTGTGATCATGTGACTGGTGAATGCGCTTGCGCAGCCGGAAGAACTGGCCTGCACTGTGAACACGGTACGCCTTATATTTCTTAATGTGGCTTTTTCTGACCCAAGAGGCTGAATATCAGGATGTCTTTTAGGGCTTGCGCATGCCAGGCGCGGTGTAGGAACGCATGCAGAATCGCGTGTTTTTCCAGTGCGTGCGGATGCACGTGGGTGTCATTACTT